TTTAAATACACTTTAGGCAATGTGTCAATAAATCAATGAGAAATGTGCATTTAAAAAGTAATTTCTGTGAAGATTTACAGTTTTAAATTGATCAGCAGCTTAACCAGTAATTTCATACACCACACTGTGTTTTGCTGTATAAAGAAATACAGATTTTTTCAGGAAAGTCATTCAGTATTACAGTCAGGTATATTTATCTGACAAATGGTGATGGATATTGCGTCATTTATAGCTTTTTTGAGTCCTCTAGTAATGTAGGTCAGGGATAAGAAAAGATTAGACCTGAAGTAAGAAGTCCCTTTATCTGATGAAAAATTGCAACGTCTTCTGTAATTAACTCAAAAATACAAAATTAGCACCAAAAATAAGGTCAAAATTACCCACTTATCTTTCCCTAGATCCTTAAACATGATTAAAGCATTTTTATAAATATGTCATTCAAACAATTCAATTCTTGCTCTTCTTCCATACAGGTGCTGGAGAATCAGGCAAAAGCACTATTGTCAAACAGATGAAGTAAGCTGACTTTGCATCTGAGCATTGCTGACCTACTTTTAGAGTTGACTATGAGTTGCATTTTTTTAATGCTACATTTTTTCTCACCAGAATTATCCACAAAGATGGTTACTCGCTTGAAGAATGCTTGGAGTTCATTACCATCATCTACAGCAACACCCTGCAGTCCATCATGGCCATTGTGAAGGCCATGAACACGCTCAATATCAACTACGGGCACTCTGATCAGCAGGTAACCACTGCTGACACTCATTTCCACATACATATGAAGCTAAACAGCTTTCGTGGTCCTTATAGCTCACTAAACACACACATGCCTCCATGCAGGATGATGCCAGGAAACTCATGCATCTTGCAGACACCATTGAGGAAGGCACCATGCCTAAAGAAATGTCAGATATCATTCTGCGTCTGTGGAAAGATTCTGGCATACAGGCATGCTTTGACAGAGCTTCAGAGTACCAACTCAACGACTCTGCTGGATAGTAAGATATCACATTTACTCAGGTTTAACATTGCTACATTATTTTAATCTCTTGTATCAGGATGTGTCATTGACTTATTCTCTTCTCCTTCCCCCGGCAGCTATCTGAATGACTTGGAGCGACTGGTCCAACCAGGCTACGTGCCCACTGAGCAGGATGTGCTGCGATCAAGAGTGAAGACCACTGGTATCATTGAAACTCAGTTTTCTTTCAAAGATCTCAATTTCAGGTGAGCCAGAGCAATGTTTATCAAGAGAATAAGACAAACAAATCAGCCGCTGGGCTTCCTGTGTGCACGGTGGCAAACAAGGCAACATGCTCCTGTTCTCGTGCAGAATGTTTGATGTGGGAGGTCAGAGGTCAGAGAGGAAGAAGTGGATCCATTGTTTCGAAGGCGTGACCTGTATCATCTTCATTGCTGCTCTGAGCGCCTATGACATGGTCCTGGTGGAGGATGATGAAGTGGTATGACAAGTTAAACTAGATACTTGATATTCTTTTATTGGGGTCCATGTTTTTGGAAAGTCTCTTCACTGGGATTTTTTTTCTCCCAGAATCGCATGCACGAGAGTCTGCACTTATTTAACAGTATCTGCAACCACCGCTACTTCGCCACCACCTCCATCGTACTCTTCCTCAACAAGAAAGATGTGTTCGTTGAGAAGATCAAGAAAGCACATCTCAGCATGTGTTTCCCTGAATATGATGGTGAGATAATCATTTCAAATACATATTTAAGATAGTGGCAAGCTAAGTAAAAGCAAAACTTTATAATTACACTGTCTCACCCAGGCCCCAATACCTATGAGGATGCTGGTAACTATATCAAAATGCAGTTCTTGGACCTGAACCTGCGCAGGGACATCAAAGAAATCTACTCTCACATGACCTGCGCTACCGACACAGAGAACGTCAAGTTTGTGTTCGATGCCGTAACCGACATCATCATCAAAGAAAACCTGAAGGATTGCGGTCTCTTCTAAAAAAAACACGCAGAAAACCAGATGAAGGTGAGCAAAGTAGAAAAATGATTTTAAAGATAATCAGGATGAACTGTTGTCATCGGTCACTATGGTTCACTCCTGTTTTGTTTTTTGTTTTTTACAGGGTGCTGGTAGAGCCCCATCACATTTCACAGATCTTTTTCTCAATTCAAACTGAGGCCTGAAGATGAAAACTGTCCCTGCAAGCGGCAATCCTCAAATCAGCGAATGCAAAAAAGAAAAATCTATTTTTTGTGTTCAAAATTAAGTTCTAGCTTTGACAAAGAACTTTTTTTCAGATAGCTCCAAATTCAGAAACTTCCGTGCAGGTTTCAGATGAGTTGAATTTCAGTTCATCTAAATTTTCCTCTCAAGTCTCTTGAACTGGTCTTTGGGGGGTGGCATGCAGTGTGTAGTTAAAACATCAGGAGCTTCTGTCAGCAAACAGTGATTTTTTTTCTCATGTAATGTGAAAACATTTCCGGCTAATGCATTGTCTGTGTGTTACGGTAAGTGATCAGTGTACGGCTAAAAGGGCAAAGAAGATGACCTAACCACCTGCATATGCACTTCAGCCTCTGTTAGATATTTTAACGGAACCTTTCACTAGAAACGGCTTTTATGTACAAACACACTACAGCAGTTTGTAACATAACTCGAGCATGTCACAAATCGAACCTGTGACATGCTCGAGTCACATGAAAGTGTTAGGAAATCTAACTCTTTACAATAGTTGAAAATGGCCAGTGTATATAATTAAGCAGATTTCTGTTGGACAGTTAATTAAGTATGGCGACAGCATGTTGATATGTAACAATGTCGAGGGATAGATTTGTCAAAGATTTGTTTAAGTTAATTAAAACTCTGGGCCTTTGAGCCAACAATTCTGTACAGAAACCACTAATTGTATTCCTTGATCAAACTTATTAAAGCTTCTGTAGAAAACTCAGTACTTCTCAGTCTTTCACAAATTAAAAGCAACTCTGCAGTGTTGTGTTTAGAATTTTACATTTATTATTTTCACTGAATATTTCTTACTTAAATCATTGAAACGTGTCATTTTTACAAGTGACCGCCTTTAGTTTTTCATAAACGTTCAAAGAACAGCTCTGCGTTGAAGATTCTTTGCCTCCCTGTTTTTTAAATACAGTAACTATTCAGCAGTTACATTTTTTTATATGTAGATTTTCAGAAGCTCAAAATAGAATAATTGACAACTCCATGTCCAACTGAAGCTTGTTGCTTTGTCAAATTAAGAGAACTGAACTTGAGTCCAGGGGTTGAACTTGCATTTCATATATTTTCAGTGGAAATCTCAAAATTAGGACCAAAGGGATCACAAAGTAAGTCAAGAAGGTCATCATTAGGCCGAAAATACAAAATAAATGTCTCAAAAAGGAAAAACGTTACAAGTGAAAAATCTACTATCTTCATCAGCAGAAAAAAGCTCTAAAATGTATATGAAAACAATTAAAAGTCAAAAAATTTCAGCCATCTGCTCGAGAACTCAAAAACAGATAGACAAGATTAGACGTTGCCTGAAAACATCTTACAGAGCCTGCACAGACGAAAGGTCGTAATTTGAAGCTCACCGCATGATGAGTCAAACACGGTGGAGGCAATACTCTGGTACGTGCATGTCTGCCAGTGGAATCGGGATCAGATAGTGCTTCACAGTGCAAATAAGTACTGACCCAAAGCATACTGCAGAAGCAAGACAAGAATTTCCCAATGCAAAGAAATGAAATATTCTTGAACGGCCAGGTCAGTCACCTGATCTCAACCAAATGCGGTATTTTTCTCAGTTACTGAAGGTAGAAAGTCCAGCAAATAAGCTGCAACTGAAGAAGAACTCCATGGGCTCTAGCCATTGCCTGGAAAAAAATGTTACTTAAAATTCATCCTTGTTTAAGCAATAAAAATTGCTTTTGTTCCAAAGTAGTTAATGTTATACGTTGTAAAACCCATTAAATTAAAGCTGAAGGTTCTGCACTTCAATCACATTAAGATTGTATGACTTAAAACCCACTGTGATGGTTTATCCTCCTGAGAACCAGCCTGTTCATTTATGTCCTCTGTGGACATTTGTTTTTGGTCTATATCTTTTGACCCTACTAAGTCTGATGTACTCAAAAGAGGACATCTGGGGCTTTCCATTGATATCTCATGTGTTTGGGTGGCCTTTTTTAGCTCCAAAGAGGAAGGAAATCCCCCAAAAGGTTCAATGGGAAGATTCCTTTTTCCTCGATTCTCAAGTGTTTAGAGAGGCAAAAAGAAAAAAAAGTGTCATCATCTTGGGCCTGTAAGACCTGACATTGATCGTCTCTTCTGCTCTAAAGGGGAAACTAATCAGGAGAAAGTTATCCTAAAGAACGGGAGAAGGGAGCTAAAAGAGCTTGTTTCAGAAAGGAGGAACTGAAGGCCTGAACCAAAGCCATTTGATCAATATTATTTCAAACTGTGAAAAATTCAAAGTAACTCTATTAGAGTTCATTAATAAAAATAAGGAGCTGGAAATGAGACTAATAGATCCCCTTTAATGTATTAGAGCCACAAACAGACTGTTTTCATTTTGATTAAACAAATTATGTGCTGAGCTTCAGTGTACTTGAGAATGTAATTTTTTCTCCTTGGACAGAGCAAAGGAAACAGTTTCCCTCTGCAAACGTAGGATAATTGCTCTAATAAACAGTACAGTGGCCTCTTTTAGCAAAGTTATGAATGTTCTCTCAAGCTAATAAAAGGCATATTTCCAAACTCTCTGAATAAACATGTAAAAGCTCTACAATTGATAGTTCTGAGCAACAAGTTTGTGACATAGCTGTGATTGGCATTCTGTGCTTTCCAGACTATCAGCTGGTATCAATCATTTCATTTAACTCCTCGGAAGAGGAGTTGAAACGTGTACATTACCTGCAACTAAAACTTTGAAGCGATCGGGGTAATTGCCTTTAGAGAACTTAAATATCACTGATATAATGCAGCACATTATCAAAGAAGATGAATAGCCATCTCCTACAAATAAAACATTTATATTGTAATGTCATTGTGTAATGCAGTCACTACAGTCAATATACATTCAGGACGTTTGGCAAAAGTGGAAAAAAAACCCAAAACTAAATCTGTACACGAATAAAACATCACAGCTAATTAAAAAAAAAACAAAAAAAACCAACATTCTCTGTTTATATTTGTGGAAGAAAATCAGTTTTCACAGTACAACTGTACTTCAGTGTAGCCACTCATTTGCAAGAAAACCAGCACCATCTCGAGATATTGTAGGCAACGTTTCAAAAAGTTTTATTTCTTATGAAAGCATTCATTGATTATGTGTTTATTTTAAACCCTGAGTTCTCACCACGTGGTAATCATCCTGATAACAGAAATTAAATTGCAGGAAAGTCTGTATACTGACCGTGTCTGAGAGAAAACTGATGAAAAATCAATTTGCACTTCTTGAAAATTAACTATCACTGGGAAAAAAACCAATACATTTTATGGCTTTTTTTTTTACATCTAAAAAAAGAGCTTCATGTCATAATCAGTGTAAAACTGTACATACATATGGAATGACTCTTTTTGCAAAACATTACAGTGGCCTTTTTTCAGCCAAGTTATTCACAACATTAACATATACATTGCACAGCATCCAGAGAAACGAAGACAAATTGAAGGCACTTTAAAGAGTCGTCATTAATCTCCCGCTCATACAGTTGTGGCACTGCTCTGTTCTTTGTAAGACATTGAGTAGCTAGAAGCCTGAGAGATCAATGTTTAGCTCAATACTAATCAGAAATTAATTAACAGCTAACAAGCAGGAGGCAGTTTACCTTTATGTTGTCTGTAACTCCCTGGATACTGAGGTTTGATGTGATGTGCAAAACACAACTAAGACAGAAGACAGTTTAAAATCCTTGCAATATGGCTAGTGCGGTTTAAGAAAAAAAAATATTCATAGTGGCAATAGTTTAGACTCTTTTGCAAACCAGCCTCAGGTGTACAAAAAGAACGACATTCCTATGACCACGATCTAACGCAGCCTCTGGATTTGACAGTTCGTACCTGTTACTATCATCTGTTAATATACAGCCCTTATGTAGAAGCACTGATCTAGTGCGAATCACCTGCAAGGAGGCACCATATCCTCATGTTTAGAGAGACTTTTGTTACGTTGAGTGTTTTTATAGGCTATGCATTTTCATGTGGCTAGATGGCACTGTTCCCATTAACACAGCATTATGATTCCCAGCTCAGCTGAAAATTCAAATGTGCATACACAAACATAATCACACACATTCATACCTGAACAGACATTTTTTTTGTTCCATAAGAACACAACAGTTATTCACCACTTTCTCAATGATTTGCCTGCCAAAATGCAACGAAGGATGAATCCTCATCTTCTCACAGAAAAAGTCTGGCAACATTTTCATCCAGCAAAACAGAAACAAAAAGCTCAAACTTAATTTAATCAAATTGCTTTCTCAGGATTACTTTAGTGTGAGTTTCCCGAGCAGCACAACAGACAGGAAGAGGATTTTAACCAACAAGTGGTCAGTTCATCTGTGCAATAAAGGCCTGCCCCTGCCAATGTCATTACATCCATCCCATCACTCAAAAAACTCCCACCATGTGATCTATTTGCCTCATGTAGATGCTCTTTAATGGGAGAGTGTACCGTCGCTCCTCTGGGATCCTGTTACACTGCAGAGTTTTAAAAAGAAAACAATTACTGTTGAAATATTTGTAATGTGAGAACAGTAACCTAGATTCGACAGGAACATGGCCTTACATTGCTGATGTTTCTTGGAGCAGGCTGGTTGACTGGCTCTCTTTCTGTCAGTGCTCCCTCCTCACATGGAAAGTCATCATTCCATTGTTTCTCCCTGAAGCGTTTGTCTATAGGCACAACATGACCCTCGGTTGTGAAGATGTACTTATTATCGGATTTGTGAAGTGGGTTGTCTTCATCAAACAGCTGCAATGCATAGGAGAGGTTTTTATTTACACAGTATGAAGACAGGCAGGACATCAGTACTAACACCTGGCTCATACCTCATGGAAACCTCAATGGTTTGGTCCCCACAGTTAATACTTACCCGTTTAAACAGCATAACAAAGATGATGCTGTAACTGGGCGTGGTCATTTTGGGCAACATGTGGGTCCCAGCTGCCTGCAAGTCCTTATCTCGGCTAATTTTCTAAGCCAGTGCACTGTGAGTACACTGGCTTAGAAAATCAATCTTTTAGCCACGTAGGACAGTAAATTACTTCATGTGGTCATGGTATGTGAAAGCAAGACAGTTTGACAAAGAGGATTTGAAATGCTGAGACAAACTGATCATTAAGTGGAATATGAGGCCAGGGCAGGCAGGCAGTACACCTTAGAATCAGGAGAACATACACGCACAGCTTCAGGGGGCCACAAGCTACAGGCAATTTAGACTTCTCGTTACATTTTGAAGAGTCTATGACGTAAACTACACAAGTAGCTGACGCTGTTGCCAGCATTCACGATTGTGTGTGTGTTACACATTAATGACCTTGTGGTTGTGTCCTGGAGTTTTATACGCACTGCAAGCCACAATAGAGACAAGTAAAATCCTGCAACTTTTTCCCTTCTGCGTCCTTACTCTTTGTTGTGGTCAGTGGGTTTTTGTTTCTTTGTGTGTGTCATTTCGGGTGCAAAAATACTTGCCCCTTAAGTTTTTCCACTTATTTGTACATTCCCAATAAGTTCAGCAATGTCCCTCCAGGAATTTGCAGGCATCTTTAAATATTTATATATTGAGGCGATTGTTATTATTCTCTCAATGATAAATTCAACTGTGGTAAAATAGTAGTTGAAACTCTGTGAACACAATACTTGCACAATGTGTCAACATGACATGTAAGTTACATTTCCATGTACGTGCACATTAGGTCATGTAACAGGGTTTAAGAGGGATTTGCGGCTATGATGTACCTATGGTGTGGATTCAGTGCAGAAATCTAAAGCAACTGGTATGGTACTCCCACTGCCAGTCCCAAGCCGGGAAAAATGGGAGGGCTGCATCAGGAAGGGCATCCGGTATTAAACCTGTGCCAAATCAAACATGCGGATCCACCCTGTGTAGCGCCCTCTGGGGAAATAAGGGAGCAACCAAAAGTACCATCTCTTGCAATAACTTGAATAAAGATCTATCTCGACTATATACTGCGCTCATATAGAATTTTATAGCCATATAAGACATAGCTTTCTATCTGAATGGTCAAGCTGCAACTTACCAGATAAAGATATTTGCATGTCTCGCTGAGGAAAAAGCTCTCCATGCGATCCTCTTTGGATTTATCCACGACATGATGGAGAGTGGCATACCCACATCTGCAAAGAACACAATTCCGCTCAGCCAAAAGCAAACACAGAAGAGCTTTAACAAGCTCAAAAAGAGTAAACAGTGTATTTTTCTATTATTATTTCTTGGACAAAAGCATCTACAACTTTAAACTTAATCTCACCTGACTTTGGCATTTTTCTCAAGGCTCTGTAGAATATCCATTCCAACATGCAGATAGAAAGGATTTTTGGTTGCCTGCAGAAGTTAAAAAAGAAGACTTGTGTGAGATGTAACAGTCACTGACAGCAGCACCAAACGCTGTGGAACAAAGACCATGACTGTTACCTGGTACAGCAGGTAAGTAGACTCTACTAGTTCTGGTCTTAAAGGGTAGAAAAGCACATCGGGAGCCTGCAGCTGCCAGTTGTATCTTTCTGGCAGAGCTCCGAAGCGCTTCCAGATGGCATAGTAGAAGGCATGCAGGCAAATGGCATCATCTACATCGCCATTCAGCACCTATGAGGCAGAAGCAGAGCTTTAATTTAGATTAACAAAACAATGTATACACCATGCTGTTTACAGTACAGGATTTTTTAGATTGCTATCAATATTTGGGGAATTTAAAAAATTAGATATATAAGCTGATAATTTTTGTCTTTCAGACACACAAAACAAAGATTCTAGACTTCTAGAGAAATTTCTCGAGAAATCTAGAGAAGAAGATGAGAAGAAGACTGAATTTCCCTAACATGTGTTATGTGTAGTTATTTGTGAGTCTTTACTAGGATAACATGACAATGCAGTTTAAAAATAATCTTGTTTTAATAGCATAATAAGTATTACTGACTCAGAGAGGATTAGTTGCCAGGCAGGTTGCAAAGTGCCCTCTGGTGGACAAACCATGCAACATCAACCCTCATAACATGGTTAAAGACCATATTTTAAAACATTTTTAATTTTCATTTAAGAACTGTTTTACACGGCAATACAAATAGATCAGGAAACAGACAATATAGGCCGATACCTCGGTCACGTTCTACTCACAGCTGCCACTATAATCCTCACCTGAAGGCCAGGAAAGAAAGCCTGAAGTGAGTCAATCCAGGTGTTCATTATCTCACCACTGAACATGTTCACATTAACATAGAGAGGTGGGTCACCTTCTCCTTCATTGCACGACTCTCTCCTGGGAAAAAAAAACACAGAAATATCATGTAATACTAGTCCTTTTGCCTCTAAATGAAATCACAGTGAAATTGTGATTTTATACGCTGCAAAGAGATTTTACTCATAAAGACAAAAACACAACTTCAGATCCTTAACAGGTGTTTATCGGTGTTTACTGATGAGGAATAAAGGGCTGATGTGTATCTCTGTTAAGTCTCATGACAGCTTTAAGTTTCTGAATCTAGTTTTCCTTCCTTCCTGAAGTTTCCTTTAGTAAGAAACTAAAACCAAAAACCATCAGCAGTTTTATTTCCTCTTTGCTTGTTTAATCCGACAGTGACTGATTTACATAGCTGGGATTCATTTCACATTTCATTTGCAACCCAGTGAAGCTGTGCAATGCTGCTGTGTCACATTTCTTTAGTGCTGAACTCACCCTCGTCTCATGTGATTCTGGATGCTTTCATAAGCAGCTGTAAACATACGGTAGTCCTCTTTTTCTCCAAAGAGGATGTACGACTTAAGCAAGTACTCATAGAAGGAGTCCATACCAGCTCCAAGACCACTCTGCTTGCCAACCCACTGGCCTGTTTGAATATTAACTACATTGCCTAAAAAGAGAAATTTAAGTTTATATTCACATTGTGTGGCCATATAATTTCAGCAAATAAACAGAAAAAAATGAAAAAACAAAAAGAAAGTTTCCAGGGGAAGTCTTTACGCTGTACTAAACATCATACATACCCAAAAGACCGGTTTCGTTGCTCCTCAGGTTCCACAGGGCTCTGACAGCTCGTCTAGCTACCCACTCAAATGTCGAATCCCCAATTAAGCGGCTCAAAATTCCAAACTCCACCAGCAAGGACCCGGCTCCTGCAGTGCAGGTCTCATTCACACTGTCAGGAGGAACTCCGTTCTTCAGGTTCACCTGTGATAAAGATACAAACAAATCAAATCTAGTGCATTTACAGTGACCAATGACAATTTCTGCTCACATGATAACTAAGGTGTGTGCTGCAAAGTGAGACCGAAAGAATATATACCTCTAATTTGTGGTCACAACAGTCTCACTCACCCTGGGGTAGGGAATGCCTGTGCTGGTGTTCTCAAAGGCTGGCAGCAAACGCACAGCCAAGTCATGAGCCAAATGTAGCAGCTCATTATCGTAACCTTCAAAGCCCACATTGCCAAAAGGATGTTTTGGGTCAGTCAGCAGAATGTGTGCTGAAATAAGGCTTCCCAAGATCCTTCAGTTTAAAAAAAAAAGAAAGAAAGAAAGAAAGAAATAGAACACCAGAGTTCTTCACATAACCAGATATTTAAAAGCTTATCGAAAGCAATTATCATGATAAATGTTACACGAGTCATCATATCAAATGTTTTGCTTTAAAAATGTGTACACTGACATATTTTGATTCCTACAGACTCTGAAAATAGTGACATATGTACCTGATGTTTGCCTCAAAAACTTGCACAGTTGAGTCCTTGTCAAAAGATACAGTATCTATAACCAGTTTGACGGCTCTTTGAAACTCTGACACGTTGCCGAGCACCTGGTGAGAAAAACCACATACTGTATAACCACAGTAAATCAACAATCAGCTGTCAGTTTTAAGACTGACACGGTAACACTTGCACCTGGCTTCATGCAGGGGAACTTAAAAGCTTGGCAGAAAACCCACAACTTACAGAGGAAGTGCTAACAACGTTGTTCTGAATGTAGTGCAGAGCAGAGAAACTCGTATATTTACTTTGAATTATGCTACTGATTGGAAAAAATACAACGACATCGCCTTGGATTAAACCAGAAGCTCCCAGTGTGAGAGACTGGAGAAATTGGCTAAAGACTGTATTTGTTATGGAAAGAAGAAGAAAAAAATCACTGCAAGACTAAATAATTGTTTTGCATTGATGATAGAATGGTCTTTAAATTATATAAATGGGAAGTGACAGCAGTTTTAATTTAAAAAAAAGAAAAAAAGATTTCATTGATGTTTAAAACAAAGAAATGCCAAAACTGGAATTGGAGGCTGATTTAAGGAAAGTATTTAGGTAAAGATATGTGAACATCTTCACTTTATTCATGTTCGATCTGGTATTATGTCTAAAATATAAAACTAAGCCAAAAAAAAGGAAACTGAAAACCCACAACTCACAGAGGAAGTACCAGTCACCATTGCTTTAATGCAGTGCAAGCAGGACAGTAAATAAACAACCTACCAACAGAGTGTCCAAGGTGTCAATGAGAGTAAGGGAATAGTTCCCCAAGACATCATTTATGTTGATATTTGATCTGAAATAAAAGAAGTGAAACAGACTGTGGTTTCACACACAAGTGGGAGACATACATCATACTGATCTCAAAACATAAAGCGTACTTTAAATCCAACAACAAAGTGATATTCACAGTTTTATCACTGCATATGAGAACAAGTCTTCCCATTAAGTAGAGCTGGGCGATATAAGATTTTTTCATATCACGATATGTTTTTTTCATTTCAGTGCATAACGATATCTATCACGATATAAGCCAAATAACTATATTTGTAAGATTTAAATGTGCCGTTGCTCACAAGTAAAATGTGAAATAATCAGCAGCTTGTTTTTATTTAAATATTTATTTCCCATAATAAGTTCAACAGGGTAGATGTACTTAAGGAACATGAGACTTTTTCAGATAAATAAAGGCAAATATTGCAAACTACACAAAAGGCAGCCGCTAAAGCGTTTAAGTTTCAAAATAGAACAAACGAAACAGACTACAATTGTCAATTCCACTTAGAAACAAAATATTAATTCTAAAAATAAATCTTAGTTTGTTTTACAGAAGAACAGACAAAACTGACTAACTTTTGTCAATATCAAATAAACTGAGAACTAAAAGGAAATTCTCAATCTCTCCTTGTTGTATAGCTTGAGCTTTTCAAACAGTTTTAACAGTTACTTTAGTCTGACAAAAGCCGAATGACGAATTAGCGCTTCCAGTCAGAGACTGAGGCTACGTCCACACGTACACGGGTATTTTTGAAAACTGAGATTTTCCGTTTTCGTTTTAAAAAATAATCCCGTCCACACATAAAGGCAGAAATGAAGGAAAACGCTGCTATGAACATGCCAAAGCAGCAGGTGGCGCTAGATTCCTAACCGTGCAGAAATGTTGGCCAATCAGAAGTCTAGAAGCCTCGGTGGGAAAAAGTAAACAAAGCTGGGGCATAGAAGCAGAACGAGTCGTATGTGTGGAGGACAGTAACTGTGTGTATATGTAAGCATTTAAACACTGCAGAGAGTAGAATTAACAGTAGTTTGTAGAAATTCATTTCACCGAAACAATAACGTGGCGCACAGTGTGACGTCAAAAAATGCGCACACCTTTGACGCTGCGTTTTCTCTGTTTTTCTAGTCCACACGTAAATGCAAAAACGGAGTTTTCAAAAATATCCACCCTGGCCGGATTTTAAAAATTCGTTTTCAGTGACCAAAAACGCCGTTTACGTGTGGACGAAAGGTGCAAACGCATAGAAAAATCTGCGTTTTCAAAAATACCCGGGTACGTGTGGACGTAGCGCATGCACCAGTTTATTGTATTTCCAGACTTGCTTTCGGCACAATTTACAGTGCACGCTACTCTGTTTTTTGTCAGACTTGAAATAGCCGAAATACCTTCACACTACGGAACTTCTGTGGCTCTTCCGTTCGACAATCTCTCCGGCATTGGAACCATCATCTGTTTTCTCTTCGGTAACCTTCGGTCACGCTCGGTTGATTTTTCTAGTCGGCACACTCATTTCCTCCATTACCGTACGGCTGGCTGCTTCCCAAACAATAATCAGAATCAGAATCGTGTTTATTGGCCAAGTATATGTGCAGACACATACAGGGAATTTGGTTCCGGTAGATGGTGGCTCTCAAGCACAGCAATGTAAATCACACACACACACACACACACACACACACACACACACACGTGTCTATATATACACATTACACATACATACACAAAGCTGTGTAAACCAACTATAAATAACGAATCTAAACTTATATACATAAAATACAGAAATGAATGAGGTGGAATGAATACTACAAAATGTACATAAGGTGCAGTTGCAGTCTGGCAGTGGGAGCAGTGTGACAGGTCAACTGTTAAGAAGGGAGATGGCGAGGGGAAAGAAACTGTTCCTGTGTCGGGTGGTCCTGGTCTGCAGGCTTCTGTACCGTCTGCCAGAGGGCAGCAGATCAAAAAGTCTGTGTGCAGGGTGTGAGGGGTCTGCGATGATTTTCCCTGCCCGTTTCCTGGTTCTTGAGAGGTACAGATCCTGGATGGAGGGCAGGGGGGTGCCGATGATCCTTTCTGCTGCCCGTACAGTCCGCTGCAGTCTGCTCCTGTCCTGTTTAGTGGCTGCTCCATACCAGACTGTGATGGAGGAGCACAGGACAGACTCAATGACCGCAGTGTAGAACTGGATCAGCAGCTCCTGTGGAAGACTGTACTTCCCCAGTTGTCTCAGGAAGTACATCCTCTGCTGGGTCTTTTTGAGGATGGAGTTGATGTTGGTCTCCCACTTCAGGTCCTGGGAGATGGTTGTACCCAGGAACTTGAAGGTCTTCACAGTTGACACAGGGCTGTCTGATATGGTGAGGGGGAGCAGAGTTGAGGGATGTCTCCTGAAGTCCACTGTCATCTCTACAGTCTTAAGAGTGTTCAGCTCCAGATTGTGCTGACTGCACCAGAGTACCAGCCGCTCAACTTCCTGCCGGTATGCAGACTCATCACCATCTTGAATGAGGCCAATGACAGTGGTGTCATCTGCAAACTTTAGGAGTTTGACAGCAGAGTTATTGGAGGTGCAGTCGTTAGTGTAGAGGGAGAACAGTAGTGGTGAGAGGACACATCCTTGAGGGGCACCAATACTGAGGGACCGGGTTTCAGAGGTGATCTCCCCCAGCCTCACTTGTTGCTTTCTGTCTGTCAGGAAGCTGGTGATCCACTGACAGGTAGCTGGTGACACGCTGAGCTGGGAGAGTTTGGAGGAAAGAAGTTCAGGCACAATGGTGTTAAAAGCCGAACTAAAGTCCACAAACAGGACCCTGGCATAAGTTCCCGGGCGGTCAAGGTGTTGCAGGATGTAATGCAGCCCCATGTTCACTGCATCATCCACCGACCTGTTTGCCCGGTAAGCAAACTGCAGAGGTTTTATGTGCGGCTTGGCACTTGTGCTGTACGTAACAAGTCACGTGACGTGACGCTGCGGCTGTGATTGGTTCGGCTCTGCGCTACTTAATTTGGATTGGCTGTTCTTTTTTTTTTTTTTTTTTTTTTAAGAGGACAAGAGCGGCGAGGTCTATCGCGATAGTTTAATTTTTCTATCGAGAAAAAGTTATATCGCGATACATATCGTTATCGTTCTATCGCCCAGCTCTACCATTAAGTAAGGATTTTTCTTCTGATTTGACAACATAAACAGTGTAGGACTGATAAGAGGGTATTAAAACATGAATACTTATTTATCAGTGCAGCTCACAACAGGGCAACTCAAAATTATTAATTATAAAATAATTTGCAGATAATCATTGATCATTTTGGTGTCATGAAAAGGAACTAGCCATTAAAAATGATAAAATCCCTTCTTGTCTTAGAAAACACTTGAGAAAGTCCCCCCCACACACACACAAAATTTCTCTTAATGTTAGTGATATATCTCAAAACTTTTTCTGATACAGCTGACTGATTGAGGAAATCTATTCTGCCTTGAACCATAAAGCTCTTGAACGCATCACAGAAGAGGAAAGGAGTCAGAGATGCTGCCTTATCAGCATAATTTTCTGCATCAGATAGTCTTGATATTGGCTATATCAGTGCTATGCACAGACACATTTACACTTTTTGTCCAGTTTTCTGACAGTTTTCTTTACAGTGGTAATAATTCTTGCATTGTGAATGCATCCTGTAATGTTTTTGTATGGGGATCACCCTTTGCACTACCTACACTTTAGCATACCTCACACATCATACTAGTTGCATATCTTACAACAGGGACAGCTCTCATTAGTGACGTACCATCTATTCGCTTTTGTAGTTTTGCACAACCTTTGGTTACTCCGTTATAATATTCCTCTAGTTTCCCTATTCAAATCTGTATTTGGTGGCTTTTGTGTTTAATGCTCTGTCATTCACAAGCTACTAAATGTCAAAATTTCCTTTGGGAACAATGAAGTATCTAGTTGTAGTTCTGCGTGTAGTTCCAGCTGAAGGGAAAACCTGTTACAGTTTGAAAAGCATTGTTTCTTTTAAAGGGACTGAAGGGAAAGCTGGTGGATAGCACTGCTGACTCAGCAGTGGCAGATATGATCACAACTGCATCAGTAAGTAAGTTTTTAATTAAACAAAGTTTAAATGATTTGGAAAACTATAGCAGGCTTTGGAGCTTTTTGCTCAGTATCAGACTCAGTTTTGGAGAAACAAGACTGTAGACTAAATCTCTCCGGGATCTAGAGGCTTTGTCAGAAAACAAACAAGTATATGTCACCCAACCTTGGAAATAACACTTACTGATTAATTCAAGACAAACATGAGGGTAAAATAGTTGTTTCACTCTGTTTTTCTTAAACTATACATTTGCTTGAGATCATTTGATTTCATAATTTTGAATATGTTATGAAGAAAAACAGGCTATACTTCACAGAAACCCACAGGATCCCTGTTAAGACTCTTTAAGCTTGGAAAATACAGGACTGTTCAGTGAGAGTAATCTGACCTAGGCTGGCATTGCCACAAAATAATAAGAATTATGTAAATGCTTTCTATTTAGAGAAAACATGGTTTGAACTCTCCTCCGGTTCCCACTTGTAAACCCTGACCCGTTCTTGAGTGATTTGAGGCAGCACAGAGAGCAGCGACATTTTACTACAAGCCAGTTTGATTACAACTGCATGCAAACTGCAATGTGCAGAGGACAGTTAAGATAACTGAGCGCCTGGAAGCGTGAACTGCATTTCACAGTAGCAGGTCCAGTCAGTTCAGGTAATCGGGGTAACAGTGAATGACTCACGGGTTTTGCACGTCTGGACCCCTCCCTTCACAGTCAATTGGATTCAGCTCGTCCTCGGGAAAGGCATATTTCATATAATTGTCATATCCGAAGTAGAACATTTCTTTGGCCATGTCTTTCATTTTGGCCTTTAGTGTGTCCGGAAAAGAGCTGTATCTCCGCACGTACTCGTCCTTGTTGCCATCGAAGAAGCTCAGGTAGGACCTCTTTGGGGACTCCTCTCCCGCCGACGCACAGGTGGTCTCCGTCTCTTCATATCTGGGGCCGTGTATTCGTTCAGACCACGAGTTATCTCGCGGCTCGGTCTCCTTTTCCTCCCTGAACAGCAAGTCCAGTTTGTGCAAATTGAAACCGAGATGGAAGTTGAACCCCCAGCTAGGTCCCAGTCCGAAAGCTAGCCACAGCATGCAGCTGAGAGACAGTCTCAATACGACAAGACCAACAAGTATTGACCTCCATTGCATCTTTGCCCCGCGTCGGTCTTGAAACGCATAGTTTAAGTCCACATACTTCAGAGGGATGACCAACTGTCAGCCCCGCTGTTTGTCCGGCTGAACTACAGGAGAGAAGGGGTTGTGGAAGTGAGTCCGCCTCGCATTTCCTGTCAACAAACCAGCTCCTCCCACATCCTGATAGGCGATTGGTGTCGTGTCAGCGGGTTCTACTAATGATTGGTCGTAGAGATGTCAATCTCGACGGTGCGTTTCGTGGCATTCCAGATTTGTACGCCAATAAGAAAGAGCCACAAGAGTGAAACATTTAGCTTTCAAACCGAGAAATTATTTACATTTCGAAAGATGTAAAGTTGGAAAGGTCAGTTAAATGTAAATATATTGAAAAAAAGGGGAAAAATTAACATTTTGTTCTATATCTTAAAATGCTTTCAAAGATCCCCAGAATTAATACGCTCTTTTTATTGGTTAAGAAGCCATCAATTAGAACATTATCGTAATTAAATGGTAAAAAAAATAAAAATAAAAATAAAGCTGTTTTGACTTATCCGCTGAATACGAGCTGCAGAGCAACTCAACCACAACAATAATACTGAGTAATTACTATATACATACAGGCATACATGGCTTTGACCGTATAGGAGCTTGTACCTGATTTTACTGTATTACTACACTGAGTATGCTGACCTGTAAACCCTACCAAGGGTCACCTAATATAGATCTGATCACAGGTATAATAGGCTAGGTAATTGATAACAGCTATGTAGAGCTTTTTGGTATGTAGTCATGGCAAAAAAAGAAAAGTATATCCTGAGGTTTTACATAATAGAATATAATAATAACAATAATGAAAAACTGCTCCTTAGCAGTTCTTTAAACTGGGTCAATACAACCGCAGATGAATTTCAAAACATGCAATATTACATCATGTCATTATTTTTTTCACAAAAACTAAACCAAAATGCAGAAGCAGTTTGTGAATAAGTAAATAAATACACCCTTACTGCTTCCATAGGAATTAAGAGGGAAAGTTTCAACAAGGTGTTCATAATCAAATGCACTTGTTTAACTTATCATTAGAAAGTGTGAGCACCTCTATTAAAGCAAAGGTTTTGGCAAGTACATTGATTGATTTGGCAGACTAACAAATATAAAGAAATTAATCAACAATAATGTTAAAGAAGTAACTGTTGCTGAAGATCATTTCCAAATAATCTCACGCAAATTCACCCAACAGTCAAACGATATAACGCCAAGAGAAACTGCAAAAGACACCTCAGACTCTGCAGTACTCAGTTATGATGTCAAATATAAAAGTTCATGACAGTACAATTTTTTTTTTTTAAAAGACAGAACAAATAAAGTTTGTTTATAAGGGTTCCCATGACCTAGGTTTGCAACATTACAGCTGAACAAAACACAAGATTTCTGGAACAATGTCCTTTAGATAGATAAGACCAACATGGAATTGTTGGCCCTGCACAGTTTGACAAAAGTCAAAAACCCTACACCAACTGCCAAACTGTTGTTATCACCTGTTGGCTGGTGATAACTTGGAATAGTTTCGCAGCCACAGGAACGTAGTATTCTCTGAGTCAACCATGATCTCTTCAATACGCTAAAGTATTTAGAGTCAAATGTGAAGTCGGCGGTCTAACAGGTAAGACTTGGCTGAAACTGGGTCATGCGACAGCAGCAAACCTACAGCAGAGTGGCTGAAAAAGGATCAAGGTGTTGCAATGGGATCTTAAGAGATTTGTACATAGGCACATGCAGGCAAACCTTTATAAAGACAAAGATCCTCCACAACAATGATGAAGTCGCATAGAAAATAGTTACTTCAGGATAATACTTTTTAAAGTTGTTCTAAAAGCTGCTGAATCATGGCGTGTAATTAGTTTTCACACTCCTGCATTTCGGCTTAGTTTTTGTTAAATAAATAACGACACAGTGCAACATGTCATGTTTTGTAGTTCATCTGAGGTTGTATTGACCTTATTTTAAGACCTGCTAAGGAGATTATTTTTATCCTGGCCTGATACATAAATTCTTTCCACTGAAAGAGGGTGCACCTTCTTTTTACCATGACTGTAGTACTTCATATAAAAGAGCATATTAATGTTTTCCCCCACCCCCATACAGTGACTGTTGTTTTGATGAGTACATTCTGTTCAACTAGGTAGAATATCAAACCAAAGGACAAGAGAAAAACAAAAAAAAACAGTGTTTAAATTAAAAAGCATGCCTTTTTTTATTCTAGAATACATTGAAGTGGTGTTTTTATGATGTTACTGTAGGCACACCTTGCATGCTGCTTTGCTTCAGAGAAGAGACACTGCACAAGGCACTTTAAATCCTGCCTCTCTCTCAGCTTTGAGGCAGCACAAAAGGACATTGTTCCACTGAGGCTAATTACAAATAGAGGCCAATATGAACCACACAACCCCATACAGTGTTGCTTTTAGTACATTCAGAACTTTAAATAGAATCATATATTCATACACACACATCCCATTTCAGTAAAAATCATACTAGCTTGATATTTTTTACAGACCTGCTTCAACTGACTTGCTTAAATGCGCATTTTCTAAAACAACTTTGAAAGGAGAAAACCTGATCAAGGGAAGGCTGACAGTCAAGATGATCACAGAGCCGAGCTAGGCAGAAAGAGGAAAACCTGCGTGTTCACATCAGCCGTTTCTAAGCATCATACCTGACTGTCTGAAGAACCTCATCATACTGTGAGATCTGTTGAACTGAATAAACCCTCCTAGAAGAAGGTGATGTTACAGCAACAAGGGTAACAAGCTACCTGGCAGCATCAACTGTGTAATGCCTGAAGACACAAAAAGGTAGCTTAAAAATAGTTTCTCACTCCTAATTAAAGTACAGCTTTACAAGATGTATAATGCCAATTTCTTTCTTAAAGTTCAGTACCAGAATTGTTGTAGTGCATTGTTGGGATTTGTTTAAGAATTTAAAAAAAAAGGTAAAATGCAAAAAAAAAAAAAAAAAGTCACACAAGCAAAACAGTGCAGCACGGTGAAGTGCAGGTGAGGATACGACTGTACATCATGGCAGAGTGATGAGGGTGTGACATGACGGTAACAGGGCAATAACAGCTGGAAAACAACTTGGGTTTTTTCAGCTCCTGCGTGACTTTGAGTGCTGGATGAGCCACTGAAGTGTGATATCTGCAAATAAATGCATAAATAGAAATATGCAGGGTCAGATTTAGCACTGCAACAAAGAAATCAAACGATTGTAAGAAATAATGCCACAACTTACCAATGTTGTCTTTCTCTTTGCAGGAAATAGAGTAACAGCATATCTCCCTGTCCTGTATAGCTGACAGATTCCTAGAAAGGTAAAGAATAGTTATTTATATATAACCAATCCCTACATTTTAAGACAATTTAATTTAAAGTCAAGGTACATAGAGCAGATTTATTCCCCTTTCACCAGTCAGCCATACAAGCCCTGCAATGGCCCTAAAAGAAACCCAGGGGGCGTCCACACCACAGTTTGAAAATGACAGCGTTAAAGTAGTACTAGTAAGAGTCTCAGCACATTTTTGACAACTTGACAGGAGAGGAAACCAGTAAGATTACAGCTGGATATAAATAAAGACAGTTCCCCTTTACCAAGAGACATACATGAGAAAAGCATCCTAACGGTTCTTTAAAAAAACAAAACGAGATGAAAAACTGCGAACACGTCTGATATTAAGAACCTACAATGCACTGATGAAAAGTTGAAATGCCTTCAAGATTTTTCCACTTACATTTTCTCAATGAGCTGCTTCTCGTCTAGTGCAGTGGGGAGATCCCTTTTGTTACCCAGTACCAAAACCTAAAAAAGGGCAGGTTAAATTTGAACTCTGAAACTCCAGTGGAGTAATCCAGAGAAGTCACACACAGATCTCTGTTACTGCTTCTGAAACCACACAAATATCTAAATTGGTTTAAATGGAACACTTACGGGAATTCCTTGCAACTGAGGTTTGTCTAATAAATTATGAAGCTCATTTCTCGATGCCTCCACCTTTTCTCGATCTGCAGCGTCAACCATGTACCTTGACAAGATCAAAATCAAAATTAGTCATCATTTAACAACAATAGTGTTTGTTTTATGAAACAAAAGGTATGAAAGGCAGTCGGGGATACTCACACGATTGCATTAACTCCCCGACAGTAACGCTCCCACATGCTCCTGAACCTCGGCTGCCCTCCTATATCCCAGATCTACAGAATTAAGACCAAACCTTTAGATAACTTTTCCTAAAACCACTCTGGGGATGGGTTTTGTTTTACCAGTTGTGACAGATTAGATTAAAACTGAACCTTGATCGTGACATTTCCTTTAGTGACCTTCCTCATGTTGAACCCGACTGTAGGAATCATATCTTCACTGAAATGCCCAGACTGAAAGGAAAGACAAGTTTATCATTTATTAAAAGAAAAAAAAAACAGTCATTTCAAATGCACATTTTACAACATCTGCACTATATAACCAAGTATAACAGCGCAACTGGTCACTCACATATATACTGCATGTGTGCTGCACTGATTAACTTCCTTAAAAAAACAGGAGTCATATACATTAAGCTGTGTGCTTATAAGAAATGCATAGCAACATGCTGCATGGAAATACACGCTGCGGATTACAAATTAAGTGGCAGTTCTAAGAAACGTTTATAAGTTTTTACATTTAAACTTCAAGTGACCTTTAACAAGCAATTTATAACTTATGGTAGCTTATGAAAGCGTGACTGACATAACGGCATCCTAAGGTAAAACCACAGCTTTAATGTTTAACGTTTGTTTTTGATTCATTCATGAGGAATAATCCAATCATAAAAGTGTTTTCACTGAGTCTTTATTGCAAAGGAGGAAGGGACTATAAAAAGTAAAACATTCAAAGTTGACTCTAATTTGAGTATCATAAAAGAAAAAAAATAAACAGAGTGAATCATTTTATTGAAATGACAATAAAATAAAACGTTTGGGTTTTTTGTGAATGGCCTTTTGTTAATGCTTTGTGTAAACTGCAGTGGAAAGAAAATGTGTTTGTGTATGAAAAATCAGTGGAATTTCCCTTTTAAGTTCACAAGCTGCAGATATCCTTCTCCATGCTTCGTGAACCTGCACTGCCGGGTGCACGAACATTTCACAGCACATGACTCGCCAGAGTCACCTGACAAAGCTAAGTGGAAATGAGTGAACGGTCTTATGACTGAGAAAGGCGGAACCACCCCTGCATAACTACTCATGAACTCTATTGTTAGTGTCTGGTAGGGTATTTTTTTCATTTACTCAGCGTAAAGGAAGGGGAAGAGTACGTTCCAACCCCAAAAACCTTGATATCACCAGATAAGTGTGGGCACCAAAGAAAATTTCTATAGAGATGTCGTCTTCTTCGCAGTAAATGCCAGATAAAAATCTGTTTTTTTCAGCACGCATATAACCTCAGCACAATTCAGTGTTTCTTTTAAGTGTTTCAACTGTGCAAGTCGGAGTCTTTAGAAAGAATTACTTTCACTTTAACCTAATTTAATAAATATATTCTTTTTAAAAAAAAAAAAAAAATTTTCACAACTTCCAGTAGCCTGAGTGTTTGCGTAACAAAAAGGACCAACACATAAATATACAATGTATAAAACTGAGCTCACATAATAGTAGAATACCAATGTTGAATTAGTGGCCGTAGCAAATAAATGATTGAGAATTTTTTTGAAAGCAGAGGTTATACATCATCAATACACTGACTATCACCTAGTAAAACTGATTAAAAACATAAAAATACACCAGCCAGAAACCAGAATGCCAAGGTTTAGCAGAGGAAGTGCATACTTGTTTTTAACTCTGGCAGCGTAGATAAACATCTCAAGTGCACAAATGTTTTTAAAGAGCTTCCTCTAACATCCCGGCAACATATCTCTTTGAAAATTGATTACTCATCCATACTTTTGATAGCAAGGGAGATTAGTAATCTCCCTTGCTAACCCCTAACCCCTAACCCTAACCCTAACCCTGACTGATCTGAAGCTATTTCGTTTTAAGACGAAAGGCTGCACCAATCAGACCTTGCCTACACCAGATACATTTAATCTGATTGGTTATCTGACAGCTGATGGAGTAAAAGGCATGCCTGCCATCTGTTGCCACCCTCACTAGGGCCCCATATGTGAAACTAAAACAACCAAAGGTTAGGGGAAAAAAAGAAAGAAACCCATTTTAGCAATAATAAGGCAACCTGGATTGCCCCACCAGTCTTTGAGAAATAACTGCAAAGTTACATGAGAAACCAACACCCCTACCAAGAAGCTACAATCTGCTGTTGTGTTTTTGTGTCTTTTTTACATAAGTGCAAAAATGTCTTCTCCTTTTGTTTACGTGTGCTTGACTTAAGTGCAGTTTTAATCTAGTCCCTTTTTTAGATGTGTCATGGAAATCTGACACTGCTTTATAATCTCACATTTAAGCATTAATGCTACAGAAACTGAGAAGCTGACTTTTATAAATACAAGAAAATAAATATAAAAAATAAAGAAGATAACCCACCCAGACTCTGTTAGTTGTCCTCATGATTTTGGAAACCAGTCGTGCCAAAAAGTGATTTGTGTGTTTATGTTTTTATGTGCAACATATTTGCTTATATTGGTAAAAAGGTTGGAGTCGGGATCATTTTCAAAGGGGTTATTTATTTAAAAGGAAGAAGAAGAAGAAGAAATTACCTGTAGAATATGTTATGTTATAGATGAAATAAATATATGAAATAAAAAAGTTATTGTGGTACATTTTTCACTGCCCAATTCATTTACATTAGTTTAAACACTTGCAATTATTTTTTGGCAGATGATCTCCTTTGACAGGACACCTGTATAACACTGGTACAGGGGACCTGTACTACAGTGACACATAAGTGATCTTTCCAGTTTGGCTGCACCGCTGTCAACAGTTACTGTCAGCGTGTTATTACGTTAACTTCCTGGTAACTAAAGCACTCCAGACAGCTTTTAACTCCTTCGTGTAAAACTATGTCAAATACTGCTTTTGAGCTTTGGAGTTTAGACCATAACACTGCATCCTACTAGCCGGTAAGCTGCAAAACTAAACAGCTAAATATAAAACAGCAACTCCTCTTGACTGCGGTGTGTGTTATGGATGCTGGCTCCACCAACAGAGCAAAGCACACCCCAGAGAACCGGACAGTGTTTAGCCCACTTCTAGCTTAGTAACCTCTATGCAATTATGCGAGTTAAGGCTGTTAGCCGTATCCTAGCAAGGCGGCTAGTAGCAGCTGGAGACTTACAGCGATCACGTTTACAAATGTTGTTTTCCCCGAGTACTGCAGGCCGACCAGCGTCAACTCCATCTCCTCCTTCCAAAACAGAGACTTGATCCAGTCCAAAAGCCGGTTTATTAGTGCAAGCATCTTGAGGTCGGTGGTCAGCGCTCCCCTGATGGTGGTACCTGTTTCGTCTCCCTCCCTGTCAGATGTGCCGTTTTTCCAGTGGGGAAGCGAAGAGGGACAAAAGCAGCTGTCATATGACCGATCAGCCAAAACGTGCTCATCAGCGCCTCCGCAGGGACGCAGAAGAAGTGCACCCTTTGTGTAACGCCCACTGTTTGCGTTCTTTTTGTCAATAAGAACTTTTTATGAACAAAAAAACAACAGTCACACGTTTATTATAGCATATCCCGGCCTGCACGTCACAGCAACACTACAACAACCACTGCCACTGAAGGTGAGACATTGAATAATGTCACT